CCCACTCCCACTCCCCAAAATCCCTAAAAATATCGAACACTAATGGCAATAATGGCAGAAAGAAAAGAAAAGAATGGTCCTTCGGAATATCATTGTAAACAAATCCTTCTAAGTTACGAATAAGATTATACCTCGTTTAGTGTACAATATAAATTTTGTGTTTACCGTTAAACATATATAATCTTTCAATTTACACAAACGACAGTATTATACTTGTACTGTAATTTGCGAATAACCCAGGCTGGTACAATAGAATTGTCAGAACCGTGTCGTAACTCGAGGGTGTCAAATTTATTTGTTGGCTGTAAGCGCGGGATCGCCCGACTTTAATATAAAATTGGGAAATTTCGGAGTTAAATTACATTTAACCGCGACGACGGCAGGTGGTAAGAATTTTAAACGAAATCGGGAAAAATTTATTTTTTTTCTTTTCCCACAGCGCACCAATATTTCCCACGTACGATTTTACGTCAAAATAATAAAAAAAAAAAAAAATTGAAATTCCGATATTCGTACTATACATCCGCCTGATTATAATGGTTATACGATTATAATGAATATTTTCTCAAAATGATTTTTCTTTAGCTAAACCGCAAATCCTGTTAACACGTATACGGGGCAGGGTCAAAGGTCAAGTTGATTTTGCAGCACATTTCACTGTAGAAAGACACCACAGCATGCTCTCGCCACGGTGAGCGAATAAAGGCAATAACAAATTTCAACTTGAATTAGGAAAAATTCAAAAGCGAAGGGTCCTGCCTGTTTTAGGGACGAGGGTAATTCGAGATGAGAACTCAAGGGCCAAATACAGACGAAGGCTTAAACATTGATAATACGTTGGTTCAATTTCAACTAATACAAATAGCTGACCAGTAATTTCATTTATCACACTCCCATTCACCCCTACTACCCCAATCTCCCTCCAGTGGACCTTTGGGCTTAATAAAGCCCACCCGCGAGGACCCACGATGTTTATACTTTTCATTATACCCCCCTTCTTACTGTCATCCCTTCATCCCCTTCTCACCGGAATCTCTAAACAATTGTACAAGCATTCCTCGTGTCGTGTAGCAAGTGCAATGTTCACGAATCAAGTGGCTTTGGAAACCATACGAGAAATTCGATATTATTTTGGCGGCAAGTTTAATTGGGATTTGAATAAAAGAAAAAAGAAACTATACGATACGACAGCTTAATTTACAATGGAGAAACGAGAGTTATCTTAGGCATGAAAATTCAGCGTCTGTGGAAGATGACTTTTTTTTTCTTTGTTCTTTTTTTGGGGGGAATAAATTGACAGGATAAATTTTCATACAGTCGAGAGCTTGACTTCCGTATTCAAATTTGGACGAGTGAAACGGATATGAATGATATTAGTAATGGATATGCTTTCAGCATCTTTCTGATATATAATATCTCCATCGTTCCATCAGGGTGGAGAGAATTTTTAAAAATTTTTAAAATCTTCATTTTTCTTTTTTATTTATTTATATCAGAACGGATATGGATATCGTGTCTGTCTCAGCTTGCTGCACGTGGCTATATAGTTTAATGGAAAAAAATAATAATCGACTTCTAGGTCAGGTAAATATAATTTAAGTAAACGCTCGTATTCGCTTGTGATGTTTTCGTCGCTGGCTAAATAAGCTAATATTCTCCCTTCCACCGCGACTCGGTACGCTGACACGAGTGAAGTTAACAAATAAGCTGAAACACAAAAGTGTACTGTTGTATCAAAATGAAAGGTGATAGGGAGGAAAAATTTTAATAAAATTTTACCTTTCGCTCGTTACGTCATCGAAGTCATTTTTCGGGGCTATTCATCAATTTCGAAATTTCAAAAATAACAAAGTCATTTAATTGATCATTTTTTCTTTGCAATTCCAGGTTAAAGAGCGCCTAGGCCTTGGATCACCTACCATTGGAGTTTTAACCTATCTGGTTCTACATTATCAAGGTAGAACGACAAGGTAGTCACTGTTTAATATCATTACTATATAATAACTAAAAATAGTAATAAACAATTGTACGTGGATTTGATAAAGATATTTGTCAGAGAGAAATTAGACCTGGAAGTTACCTTGTAATTACGTATTTGATATTCCAGTCTTTCGAAATTGCTTCTGGGCCTCCTAGCCCACTTATATCTCTATGGTGATATCCAACCATCCTGATCCCAGCCTCGCTAGCTCCTCGTCCTAGAATAATATCTTTCATAATTTCAGTCCCTTAACACTTTCCACTATCGTCCGACCTACAATTAGAGGTCACGTCTGGACCCTCGTTAAGTTTACACGAGAATTCAATTATATAAAATGTTTCATTACCACTCGTTATTCTCATTCAATTGTCGTATTTGATTTTGAAAAATAATCATCAAAACAGAAATTCAAATTATTGACAATTAACTTGAGCGAGTCTGACGTCGAGGCTAATGGAAACGAATTCAAGGATGTGACTCCTTAAGTCCTGTCGGGATTTTCGTGGACGCATTGTAAATGGGGAACGGAACGGCGAAAAAACAACAGAGTCAAGAGAATGGAGTAAGG